TTACGGGGGTCAGTTGCAAAGGAATCAAACGTCTCCTGGGTCACCAAGATTGCAGGCGCGATTACAACTCCTGTTATAATCAATCAATCGTTTGATTTTTTATTGGTAGCGGGACAGGGAGCTCCCTAGCTGCATTGATTTTTTTTAAAAACATTGAAGGAGACGCGGGAGACCGAAGTACACCTTGCACGAAGTAAGACCATGAGCGCCTACGAATTTCTAAGTATTTTTCCCTATCATATGAAGGAGGTCCAGCGAATAGACTACGGGACTCCATTCCTGTCGCACCTTGGGAATTATGCTGGGGCCTTGACAGGCAATTGCATAACAGCAAGAAATGGATGCATACGACAGTTCCCCCGTCGATTTCGACGATGAGCAGCCGCGTGCTCCAACAAGTCGTAGCAGACGCTCAAGCAAGCCGAACAGACACTGAGGCAATTTGCACGAAGGCTAAAGCAAGCTGAAGCAACGCAGCGAACTACCGCGAATGAAAACAAAACAAGATTTAAAGCAGACTCGCGGGTAATCTACCCACCCGCTCGCCGCTCCCACCTCCGCCTCCGGTGTAAACACAAAGTCAATAATACCGGGGATGAGGGAGAGTGTAGGTGGCTGGAGCGATGGTCACTCAACACGCGCACAGTTGGCTCAGCACATCTCGCTAGGTCCCTCCTGCGTGCGCGGGAGCGCCATAAAGGACACATTAAGAAGAAGCCATCGCAGCCTGACTCTCAGTCCTCCACCTCCTAACAAACGCACACACAAACACACACGTACTAGAGGAGCAGCGACGTAGGTGGCTTAAGTTTTTCCGTCAGTTGGCAAACCCTCCAAGCCACGGCATTTAGCGCACCGTGATAGATCCAAACGCGTGCATATTTATTGTATTGAGGAGAGTAGCGCGCTGAGGGTCGACCTCCCTCTCTCCCCCACCAACTATCGACCGCCTAGCTGCTCGGACACCTGAGGTGGGGCCTGAAACCCAGTGGGAGCGCGAACACATGCACCGACGGGGAATCAGAACCGAGAGAAAGTGCCAGCGCCTACCAAGCCGCAGGGACTAGGGTTTGCTGAAGTCTGGCATGGATGCATACAGGGGTATCAACAAAGATAAACAGGGATAAGGAGAGAGAGAGTAACCTCTGGCTTACTAGTCGTCATCATTCAGCCACACCAAACCCCAAGTTTGGGTAGCCTGACCATTGAGCCCAAGTTATCTGATCATTGAACGTTAAATTGAATGCCTCAGCATTCAGTTACAGGCGCATTGTCCTGCTGTCCGCAGTGATCGAGACAAAAATTTCCGGTAACCTGATTACTGTATGTTTTCTCCTACGGTAGGAAATATGCCCGAGCATAACAGACAGGACGACGAACCACTTAACCAATTGTAGAGCGTCTGACCGAAGTATGTGGATTCTACACTCGGATCATTTATACCTGGATAACAATGGTTTAGAAAGCGGACAGACGAGTTCCATGTAACAGTTCAGAATAAGAATGCTATCAGTGGAAGAAGTAGTTAATTGGCCGGGATTTTCGGACCCTCATGTGGAACCATCATGAGATTTAGTCGTAGAAAAGGGTACTGGAAATACAAGGAACGTAATTCTTCGAGGATACAGTTGCCAGGCCGCCGCATGCCTACAATAGCTAGTAGTACTCGTATTAATCGCTGGGGTCGTAGTTGGTGGGATGATTGCTTGTCAGGCCGTAGCCGAGTCGTTAATTTCCGCGATTTAATCGCCCTTGTAGATTCTAGGCTTGATGGCCACTCCTCCATTTGATTGACTATCATCGGGACTGGTGGTCACACGTCCCCTATTTCCCGCGTGCCCCCTAAACGGGTCACGTGGTAGATGTGCTGGACCAACACGGGGGCCAGGTCAGGGCCCCACAGGCGTTGTTCAGGTTGAACTCCCACAATAAACGTCGAACCTTGACCAGCTACATGCGCCCCCTCCCGCGTCCAGTCTTCGTGACTCTGTCTTGACACCAGGGAAGAGAGGGTGCGCTAGACGCAGCGCAAGTCTTTGATCACTTTAAACTTATCCACAAGCAAGAAACCGTCCCTGGGCTACCATGATGGGGAGCATAAGAGGAACCTCGTGGGATACCATTATTGAATTGTCTTCGTGTCTTCTCTAACCAAATTAAAGGAATTA